TTTAACAGTTGCTGTCATGGATCAAGGACCCTGCCGCCTATGCTGAAGAACGTTAACACTAGGCACTCTAAGAACTGAGTGATCCATGATCCACTCAGGAGCTCTAACATTAGCAGAATGTCTGTTGCTGCCCCTCACTCACACTACTTGAAGCCACGGACTACAAAAGTTGCCAAGTGTCAGTTCTAGTAATGGATGGTTCAAGTCCAGAGCAATAAACCACCATTATACTTTGTAGAGCCATTAAGACTCTGGTTCTATAGCCTGGAAAATAGGCCTCTAGCTCTCAGATTTGGATCTATAAGCCACTAGGTCTACCAGTTCAGTCCCTAACCTTGAGACTCAAGTGCCAGGACTGCCAGTACTAGCCAAGCCTCTCCTTTCCCACCCCTGATTTCCTAACCAAGTAGAGCAAAAGACCCCAGCTAGCTGATTGGTAGTAAGAAACTTGAAAACTTTGCCTATCTCTCTGCACAAATTTGTTAAGATCATGCAATTAGAGGGGGCAAAAGAAGGTTGACAGTCACATTTTAAACTACTGATAGGATGCTCCAGCTTTTACCTGAATATGAGTAGAGACTCAGAGTTTTGGGGAAAGCGTTTATGTACTGACTGGAAAAAAAAGTAAGGCTGAAAAATCATGAAGAAAGGCAAAAGATTTGAGTGAATAGTGATGTACTATTGTCATGTCTATAACAAATCATGTTGCAACATCATTTGGTCAAAGTATAAGCATATCCTCAGAACTATGTAGTAAGTAAAAGAAGTAAAATCATGTAAGCTGGCCTACTTAAAGTGCTAGTAAGTAATGAAGGGAGCTAAACTTGCTTGAAACTTAAAGAACTTTTTGCTTATAAAAGTTACATGCACAACTTCTTACTTCAAGTGTATTTTGTTTCTCTCTTGCTTACTTTATTCTTTAAGTTGTACAGGATGTCACAAATATAAAATTTATAAAGTATTAATGATCTTTAAGAAAAAAAAATTACAATTTTTTACAATGGTTCCCACCTCTTTGCTGTTTTATTACCTCAGAAGTTTAAATTCGAGCTTTATTTGCCATTGTTGTAGCTGTCCTGTGCATTAACACACTCTCTGATGTGCTTTAGACTCTCTCCTGGAATTAACTGGAGTGATTAAATGGTTAACAGTAGACTAAGATAATCTTCAAGTGTAATTCACTGTTTTCCTGCTATGTCATTAGCTTGATGATTAGGTTACAATTTTGTTTAAAACCAAATGGCATTCATTATTATGCTTCACAATTATTTTACTTAATAATTTACAGAAATATAAAAGAAATGTGAAGGCTTACAATCTTAGTAGCTTTTATGCTCTGAAGTGGTATTATTAAATTAATAAGGTTTTGTTTCATTATGCTTAATATGGGTAATTTTTTCACCTCCATTAAAAAAGGAATATTCACTTATTACTTAAGGTGAGAAATGATAGTTAGGACACTTTCAGTGTCAAGAATCTTTGACTACATAATGTGTTGCATAATGAATTTCTTTTTTTTCATGAAATGTCTTAATTTTCCTACTCATGAAATAAAGGCAATTATTTTTAAAAAGAAAACTAGAAAGGGACTGTTTGTTAGTTAGTGGGTCAGACCACAGTTATATAGTTGCTTTAATTACTAGCTTTGTGTTCCTAAGCAGTCCGGGGAAGGTCATCAGGTTGGCAACGATAGCTCTTTTGATCAAGTACACAGGCTGACCGGGCTCGTCTTCTTTAACAAACTGGCTTCTATGATGAATTAATTTTTGTGTTCAACTTGATTGAACTCTAAAGTGCCTAGTCTAAGCATTATTTCTTTGTCTGTCTTTGAGTGTATTTCCACATGGGATAAAGCATTTGAACCTGTGGACGCAGTAAAGATTTCTCTTTCTAATGTGAGTGAGAATCATCTGTCTATTGAAAGTTAACTAGAACAAAAGGGAAGGAATAAGGAAACCTCCTCTCTTTCTTCTTGCCTAGCTGCTTAATCTGAGACATTAGCCTTCTCCCTTGGAATGGTTATACCATTGTCTATCCTGGTTTACAGGCTTTCCAGACTGATTGAATTACACTGTTACCAGGCTGAGTGTCTAAAAAGCTACTTATCCAGAAGATTCCACATTCTTGTGTCACCTGAATAGAGAAGTAGACAGAGACATGGATTGCAAAACAGTAGCAAAACTTTATTGAAGAAAAGAAAGAGTAGGAGGAAAGCACCATAAGGAAGCAATGGCCCCTCCCGGGTGGCACAGAAACATTGATTTCTTTGTTCAAGAACAATTCATAAATTGTAAGTGGGAAAAATCTGGCAGTATTATGGAAGAGCTAGGTGGCTGGTGGGTTTACTTATCTTATCACATAACAAGGAGTATTCTAAGCAGGTGCTTATGTTATTTTTTGGTTTTGATTGTATGTATTAGTATGAAACCAATTTTCCCAAGATCCTAAGAAAGAGCACTTAGCCTGGGAGGTCAAGATACAATGATTTCTATTGAAAGCTGTTGAAAAATGGAGAGGAAGGGGTAAGAGAAAGTAATGGAAGGGTTTTGAACAGAGCAAAGCAAAGTACACTCACAGCATGGATACACTGTGAAACCCCTTTGAATACTGAATTGAAATTTAGTAATGAAAACACACATAAATAGGTATTTGTGCAGGCTTGTGGGAGGGGGCTAGAGAACAAGTAAGTAATGGAGGGAGAGGGGTTTAATTTGATAAAATCCTGAAATATACACACCTGAAATACAAGACAAAACCCGTTGGACTGTCAATATACACCTATTTTAAAAATGAAGGCAGAAGAGAAAAAATAAATCTTTTTGGGGGTGGATGCCAGTGTGAGGGGTGGCACAGGAAAGGATGAATGAGTGTGTATATGATGGATCATATTATATCCATATATTAAAATAGAAGAATGAATTGTTCTAAAAAGAGGAGGAGGAAAGTGAGAACGATGGAGGGGGTAAATCCAACTAAGATATACTTTAAACACAGTCATAACTATCATAGTGTATCCCTCTGCTTACAACTGTTATATGCTAATAAAATCTTAAACAAAAAAAGGAAGGAACGATACATTTTTGGGCATCCTTAGTTCAAGGTCAGGAGGCACATGTTCGGAAGGTTAATGGGGACAGGAACAATTATTGGGGCTTGCTCAGTGTGTCATAAAGTTTTAGATGAAAAAAGAGGAAAGGACATTTGAAGATGATTCAAATACTAATCCCATCTGGAACCACTCAAAGACAGTCACAGAAAAATGCTTAATCTGGACACTGTGGTGCAATCAAATTGACACGTAAAATTAATCATCACAGAGCACAATTGTTAGAGAAGTCAGAGCACTGTCAGCCTGTGGACTTGAGGAAGAGCTGACCAACCTGATGACCTTGCCAGGATCCCTTGGGAAACAAAGCAAGTGTCTGCATGCATAAAGCAGCTATGGAACTCTGACCTGGAACCTACCCTAAGGAACTTTCCAACAATTGATGCCACCCCTGCTAAAATCCACTTTAAAGACTCTACAGCTTTCTCCACCAGCGACAAACTGTTGTAAGGCCTAATGCAAAGCGAGGATTACAAACTATCTGCTATCAATCTTCTATACTGTTTCTATGAATGGCAGATGCTTTCAGTAGACTTTATACATTTTTCTTAATGTTTTAATGATTAAATTTCCTTTTCAGCTTTTCTTAGAGTTACTTCTTTTAGCAAGGGGGCAATGAGACAGAAAGACCCTTGGAACCCTCCATTATGACCTCCCTGTGACTTTAAAGAGTGGAAAGAAGGAAAAGCAGAACTGACAAGAATAAGGACAGTATGAGGATTAGGGCATGGCCAGTCAGAACATTGCAGGCACAGCTAACCAGAATGCTGCTTCCTATACACTGAATTAGCATAGAGATTGAGCAATGCCCCAGAAAAAATGAACACACACCTGACACCACGTCACTTTTCTGGCACCCTATCTTCAGATTTCTCCCAGACCTGGAGGCTCTACTATTTCCGAATTTTTTATCTCAGTAAACTCTCCCACTTTGCTCACTCTTGTTGTCCATGAAGTTTATTCTTTGGCTTCATGAATACTAATCCTCCCTCTGGCTAATCACCTAAGCAAGCAAGGTTGAGTGGGGGATTTCAGACCTACACAAATCTTCCATATCAATACCAGCCTTTTTTTTAAAAAAAAAAGGTAAGTAAATTAAGACTTCCATTAAAAAAGAAACTCATTGTGCAACATATCACTTAGTCAAAATTCTTGAAATAGAATTGGTGTCTTATCTGTCATTTACCTTTAATTAGTAAATAAATATTCCTTTTTAATAGAAGTGAAAAATTGCCATATTAAGCATAATGAAAATAAACTTCACTAATTCGGTAATTGTCACTTAAGAGCATAAAAGTTAGTGAGTTTTGTATGACCTCACATTTCTCTAAATAGCTCTTTAAATTATTAACTAAAATAATTGGAAAACCTAATAATGAAAGCCAATTTGGTTTTAACCCAAACTTGTACTTTAATCATCAAGCTAATGACATAGAAAGAAAACAATGACATTACCACTTGAAGATTGACTTAGTTTACTGATGACAATAATCGCACACTCTTAAGTTAATTCCAGCAGAAAGTCTAAGAAATTCATTGATCAAACAAGCACATAAGCGAGAGTGCTAATGCACAGGACAGCTAGAAGAACAGCAAATGAACCTCTCATCTAAACTTCAAACTAATAAAACAATAGAGAAGAGGGAGCCATTGTGAAAAATTTTAAAAGATCATTAATAAGATTGTTGATACTTTATGGATTTTATATTTGTACAGCTTAAAGAATAAAGTAAACAAGAGAGTTTCAAAATATGCTTGAATTAAGAAATACTACATTATAACATTTATTGGCAGTTCAGGTGTGTACACCTGAACTGTTTTATAACTAAATTTTTCATCCGTCCCTGCTGTCTCTGGTTTCCAAAACATGAAATCATACCACTGGAACACATCCATGGCCCTTGTGCTCATGCTCGATGTCAGTCTCCTCAGGCAGGTGCCAGGTAAGCTATCCAGGACAGCCTCTTTCTGTCCATTTTGGGTTCTTTACTTGATACTGCAGAACAATGGGGTAGATGCATCTTTTGTTGTTTATATTTCTCTGGCTTCTCTTAGTTCAAGCCTGGAATTTACCAATGCCTGGGGCTGTGGGAGGCATGGGGCAGTGGGAAGGATTTAGGCACTGTAGACACCATTAAAGTATCTAAAAAATGCTATGTGTAGAGTGTTGAAAAGAGGTCACTGTAGTGGGAACCCACCAGGTACTTGGAGTTAAAAAATTAGATCTTGTCAATGATGAAGTCTAAGAGTTTAAGCAAGAAGGTTCTCTAGAATACCTAGCTTTCTAATTTGGGTGCCATGGTAGAAGAAAACACTTAAGGAAAAGTGACAATGGTTAAACTGGGCATGCTTAGATAGAAACTCTTGTGATATGTAACCTGCAGGTAGGAAAGATGTCTAGAATTTGACTCAATGTGTCTTATTTGGGGCAGAAATCCAGTCTTCTTTCTCTTCCCTGTCACCATTCAAAATAAAATCTACTTGATGAAATACTAAGTAGTTGATTAAAAAAAAAGAGGAGTTAGAGTAGCCACAGGACTCTGGGCAGTCAGTGTTCAGCTGTATAAGGTTCAGCTGAGTCTACCCTTCCCTCTATGCAGGATCCATCCATTGACTGTCTACCTGTGTCTCTTTTACTAAATAAGAGTAAGAAAATGGGAACAAAGGCATTCAAAGCTTAATTTACATAACAATAGTGTAATTACAATCTACAATAACCCATTACATATTTTATGAATAACTATAAAAAAGGACCCAGAGTCTCCAAACACAAGGTAATTTTACAGAGAGGAATATTAATTATTCTGATGTACAGCCTAATTGTCACATGGTACCCCATAAAGATATACAATTAAAATTCTAAAAATTAATTTTAAAACACATGCTGATTGATTAGCCTATGCTAATTATGTAAAATAATGGATTTCATTATGACATTTTCATACTTGCACATAACATACTTTGATCATATTCACTTCCTTTATTACCAATTTTCTCCCGCTCTCCCTCTTCCTTTTCCCTTTCTACATTAAAAATTCTCCCCATTTTGCTTTCATGTTCTTTTCCTCTCTAAGTTCCACATATGAGAGAAAAACATATTTGTCTTTTTGATTCTGGATTACTTCTTTTAGCATTATATCTCCAGTTCCATTTTCCTGCAAAAAATATAACTTCATTCTTTATGGGTAAACCCAAATATATTGTGAATATACATCACATTTTCTTTATCTATTAACCTGTTGGTGGGCTTCAATTAAAAAATTTGGTGTAAATGTTGGGGATGTGGTTTGAGTGTGAGAATGCTTGCCTGTCAGGCTTGGAACTGAGTTCTACACCCCAAGAAAACCAAAAATAATAATAATGCTATAACAATTTATAGGTTTTCACAACAAAATCTACATGTTACTCTTAAGGGTGCCTCTCATTTACCTTCATTCTCACCCATTTTCTAATGAGCTTCTCTGCTTCCTTGCTGTTTTCAGTTCAGGCACTGCATAGAAATGACCACATTTCCGCATTGTGGCTCAGAACTTTTCAAAGTGTTAGTTTGCTTGTTATGACATGGAGCTAGTATCACATTCCCAACAGTAAAGTTAGAGAATTACATGACTGTAACACAAAACTCCCTCGGTTCAGTGTTCAACATCAGTGTTTTTCAGAGCTCCTCGGTTAAAGAAACAGTAAAAGACTTGAGAATGCTGCCACAGTCAAGAGAAATGTCAAGTGCAGCAAGGGCAGCCCAGCATAAATTAGTCAACAAATCCTGGTGAATTAAAAAGAGAAAAATGTCTCAAGTCAAAGAGATTGTGTGCATAGAAGCTGACAGGTATGGGCCCACACCACGTGTGATGTCTCCAAAGCAGATGCAATGACAAGGGCTGATCTGCAGGCAGTTTGTTTAGGAGGTGACTCTGTGAAACCAAATGAAAGGGTGGGAGCATGAAGCCTCAAGCAATGGAGGATGTGCTGAAAGGCAAGCTACTACTGACAGCAACTGGGACTCAGGCCCACTGGGGACTTTCTGAGGAACCTTTAGAGGACTCATTTAGACAGCAGCTCAGCATCATCTACAGTCTCTCATTATAATAAATGTGCCCTCAAGGTTGTTAAAATCTCAGGACTTGTGAACTTTTCTACCCCTGGAATCAATATGTTCCAAATAGGAGAGGATGCCCTCAGCAGAGTGAGGGGAGAGGCGAGTTTCCTAGGATGAATCTGTTAGCAGGTATGAGGCTTGTCCATCCCAGTTCAGGGAAATCAGAGGCTGAGTGCATATTAAGAGTCAGGACTCAGCCTCCTCTATTTCAGGTTAGTTGGGAGAGACCACCTACAAGGCCAAAGTTGATCTAATAAGTTGATTTTGATGCTTTAAAAATGTGTGAAATACATTCCAGAAAGATATATAAAATGTTTAAATTAGAAATAATTGGTGGTAAAATAAAAAATTTCACTTATTTTGTAATTCACATATAAAATCTGTCTTGCTTCCTGTTCATATGCACCACCTACACTTAGATGCATAAATTAGTCAATAAATACTTGAGAATTAAAATGAGAAAAATGTCTCAAGTCAAAGAGATTGTGTACAAAGAAGTTGAAGGCTGTGGGCCCCCACCATATGTGAGCTCTCTAAAAAGGAATTTATTACAGAGCAGTAAGTATAATTTAAATCAGGAAAACTTGCTAAAATGATCAACAAACAAATGAGCAAGTGAAAAAGGAAAACGGCACTCACTGTTCACACTTGTAGCCCTTGTTTGTGAAACTCATACTCTGTGTTGCATATGGGATCAATGATGAGCAAAACAGACCCTGTCCACATGGAGATGAAAGATGTGCAGGGAAACTCTCAGAAAACAAATCATCATCACTCTTGACACCAGATGATGAGGAAAGTTTAAAACTGGAGATGAGATACAAGATGTGTCAAGAAAATATGGGCAAAACGAAGGTAAGGCATGTCAGTAAAGGATTAAATCAAGCACTATTAGACAAAAATAACGAACTAGAAAGCTCTTATTACACACGTGTAAAAGTGCATGCTATAGGAAGTTTATGTCACAGTTTGAAAGCACCAAAAGAAATATTTCTGAAATAAATATTGGAAAATTTCCTTGACATAGTGTATAGTACAGCTTTCAGATGTTGACAGACCAAGTAAACAACAAAACAAGGAAGCATCAATGCATGTTTGTCCTACAGTCAGAGTGTACACTATATACATCCTCGTATCCATGAAATAGTCACAAAACATACTCATGCTTGAAGGAAACTAATTGCCCAAAACTGCAGATTTATGGTCATACCAAACCTCATTGCATCATTAGAAGAGGGATGGTTGTTAGTTTTAAGTAAAGATGGAAAATGGGCTGTTGTGAATTTTAATGAGGCAGACATTAGGAGGAAGAGAAAGTGGGTACAGAATCTCCTCTAGTCAGTGGGTCTGCATTTGCAGCAAACTGCCTTCATTCATCTGCATGACAGTTTTACTGAAGCATAGTTTTTCATCTTGAAAATGGGAATATTAATAAGATACATGTCTAGGTAGATCTTTGAGGACTAAGTGAGGTAGCTTGTGTGGATATGTTCTATCAAGTGTAAAGACATTACTCTGGTACAAGTTCTGCAGTGTGGTAAGGAGATCAAGATTAGTGTTCTACCCCTTACATGTCACCTCCTCCCCCAGTCCTGCACAGGACACACTGACATGGGTTTTGCTCAGTTACCATTTGTGTTTCTTCTTACAGGACAGTGGCAGGTAAATGGACCAGAGAAGCCCATCAGGGTCTCTCTGGGAGAGGATGTAGTGTTCTCCTGCTTCCTGTCTCCTGAGACAAATGCTGAGGCCATGGAAGTGCAGTTCTTCAAAGATCACTTCTCTGACATAGTTCACCTCTATCAGGATGGGGAAGACAAGGAATATATGTAGATGCCAGCCTATCAAGTGAGAACAGAGCTGGTGAAGGACTTCATTGTGGATGGGCATGTGTTCCTGAGGCTGCAGAAAGTCACTCCCTCAGATGCTGGCCTGTATGGGTGCTGGTTCAGCTCCCAGACTCATGAGCAGGAGGCCATCTGGGAACTGCAGGTAACAGGTCAGTTGCTGATTTCAGAAAACTCATACCTTCCTTGTCTTGTAGAATCATCCTGGAATTTATAAACAGTTTTCAGAAAGAGATGATTTCTATATCATTCCCTTAGCAGACAGTATACTTTGTGAGCCCTTTCTTATGTCTTGTATGTAGAGATCTATCATTTTATCATGTGTGTAAATTCATGTACCTACCACATCACATCATTGAACAAATTTTCACCACAGTTTCTCTCTCTGGTGCCCTTTTATAGTCACACCCTCCTCAATCACCACCATCCTCTACCCCACAAATCAGTAATCTGCTCATCAGTGTAATTTTGACAGTTCAAGAATGTTATTAATGATGGAGTCATACTGCATGTGACCTCTTGAGATTGGCTTCTTCATTCAGCTTAGTGACTTTGAGATCCATCAAAATTGTTGCTTATATCAATACTTCACCTTTAGATGCTGAATACAATCATGAGTAGGATTTTCCGTGAACATAAATTTTCATTTTTCTCAGAAAAATGGCCAAGTGTGAATTACTGGGAAGTATGATAAGTGTATGTTTAAGATTTTTTCCTTTTAATTCAAAGCATATCTTTGCAACTTTGAGATTACAGAACAAAATACTATAGGCTGTGTGGTTAGTAAAGAACAGAAATTTTATTTCTCACAGTCTAAAAGTTGAAAATGCAAGATTATGGTGCAGTAAGGTTATTATGGTGAGAACCCTTATTCAGGTTGCAACCTATGGACTTTCCATTGTAATTTTATAAGGCACTAAGTCCCTGGAATCCCCATTTATGAATGTTCCAACCTCATGACCTAGTTAACTTCCAATGTTATAATTTTAAGCTTTCCATTATATTTTAGATGTCCTTCATATTTTTCCCTCATTTAATTGCTCTGGCTGAAACTTCCAGTGTTCTCTTGCACAGAAATTTCAAAAAGTGTTCATCATTATCAATATCCTGATCTTAGAGGGAAAATTTTAGCTCTTTCCCATTGAGCATGATGTTCACTGTGGGTTTGACACATATGGCCCGAATTATGTTAAGAAACATTCCTTCTCTTCCTAGTTTGTTGAGTATTTTTAAGATGACAATGTATTGAATATTATCAAATGACTTCTTTTGCACCAGTTAAGATAACCACTTGTTTTTCTTCCTTTTTTCTGTTAATGTGCTGTATTATCTTACATTGAATCATGAGTAGGTATTGAAGTTTGAAAAATACTTATAATGCATAAAATGATTGTATACATTTTATTCTTTAGTTTTGTGATATGTTGGATTATATAAATTGATTTTTGAATGTTGCATCACCTTTCATACCTAGAGTAACTCCCAATTGGTTATGTTACATAATTTTTATATGGACTGCTTAAATTGATTTATTAATATTTTTCAAAGACTTTGCCTTCCAAAATGAATCTGCAAGCATTTACTTCTCTTCTACTTGTTAGGAAATATTGTGTAAATTTGTCAATAACTGTTCTTTATTTTATCTCTTATTGTCTTTGAGTGTTATGAGTTTTCTTTGTTTTAAAAACTGTTTTTTAGTTTTGGACAGTATTGGGGTTTAAACTCAAGACTCTACCATCTGAGCAATGTCCTGAACACATAACTGTTCTTTAAATGTTTTCTTGTCCTTGCCAGTGAAACCATCTTGAAATTTAAAAATCTTTAAAATGACATTTCAAGTTATAAATCAGACATTTTCAGTGGTTATACAACTATTGAGATTACATGTGTCAACATGACTAAGTTTTGGTGGTTTGTGGTTTTCAAGGAATTAGTGTATTTCTTCCAAGTTGTCAAATATATGAGTATAAAATCTTTCCTAGTATATCTTATTATACTTTCAATGACTGCAGGATCTGTAGTGAAGTTTCCTGTTTTATTTCTGACATTTGCAATGTTTATAGTCTTGTTTTCATCTTTGTCACTTTTCCTAGAGGCTTACCAATCTTACTGATTTTAAGAAGAACCATATTTTTCTACTTACTTTCTTATTTTTTCCCTATTTGAAATTTTGTTGATTTCTGCTTTTATCTTTATTAGTTTCTTTCCTCTATTATTATCCCTGTGTCTCTCTACCTCCACTGTATTATTCAAGAGCTTTCAGTGTGTTCACTGTGCCATCTTTATACATTGGAGCAGTACATTTGGATATTATTCACTATCATTCTCTTTTCCTCTCCCACATCCCTAAGTTCTGCAAACAGTTCCACTATATATATATATATATATGCATATATATGATCAAATATTTATTTGTGTACAAATTTATCTTTATCTTTCATGTCTAAATTCAACATTTGAGGGAGAACATTCAACATTTGTGCTTCTGAACCTGGTTTATTTTGTTAATATGAGGATCCTCAGTTCTATCTATTTACCTGCAAAAGTCACACTTTCATTCTTCTTTGTATCTGCATACTGCATTGTGTATATATATACTGGAGTTTGAACTCAGGGCTTCACATTTGCTAAGCGAGAGTTCCACTTCTTGAGTCATATATCCATCCCCTATGCCATGTTTTTGAGCCTATCACTTTGTATAGTTTTCTTAGCAGTTTCTCTGAATATTATGGTACATAAAATTTATCACAATTTATTGATACTGACTTTATCAATATTTTACTTTGTGTTAATGTGGAAGCCTTACTTTCTCTTGATTCCTTTATGTTCTCTACCTTTGAATTAATGTTGTATTGACAATTTCTTATACATACATTCAGTATCACATCAGATATACATACATTCAGTATCACATTCATCAAAATCATAAGAAATTCAAGGTGATCTATTGTATGTACCTTTATTTTTCTTGCTTTCATTGGTTTTTATTCCTTAAGGATATTCTAAAATTCCTTTCTTTTTCATTTCCTTTCAATTTGAGAAATTTCCTTTAGTCTCCTTTAAGGCTTGTTTGATTGAAACAAATTCTCTTTTTCTCCAACAGGAGAATGTCCTGACAGTTCTCTTCTTTCAGCAGTTTAAAAATATTGGGCTGTTTTTTTTTTAGGCCTCCAAGATTTCTGTCATTCCAAAGGAAATTTCTTTACATATAATGCACAGTTTCTTTCTGGTTGCTTTCCAGACTTTTTCCTTATCTTTAGTTTTTCATAGTTGAACTATACTAAGTCCAGGTGTGAATTAATTTTGATTTTTCTTATTCAGTATTCACTTAGCTTTTTTGAGCTGTAGTTTATGCATTTTCACCAAATTAAAAATTTGTCAGGCACAATTTCAATAATTGCTTTTTTTTTTTAGAATTCTTCATTGTATGTTCTGTCCTCTGGGATTCTGATGATATAATGTTGAATACTTTGATATTTCCCTACAGTCCCCTGAGGGCATATTTTTAAAGATGTTTTGATTCCTTGTTGTTAAAATTCAGTAAATTTTATTGCTCTATATTCAAGTTCACAGATTATTTCCTCTATCAGATCTACTTTACCATGGATCCCAATCAGCACATTTTAATTTGTTATTTTATTTTTTAGTTATAGAATATCATGATTTTTATTTTAATATTTTTGTAAGCTCTTCTAAATTTTCATATTTCAAGAGCTATTATAATCATCAATACATTTATCTACTAATATAATAATTATAATTATGATTATTATTTAATAATTACAATAATAATAATTCTTAGTGTGTTTTGTACTCAGGACCTAGTGTTTGCTAGGCAATTGCTCTACCACTGAAGCCATGTCTTCAGCCCTTTTAGCTTTCACTTGTTTTTCAGATAGAGTCTCATGCTTTTGCCTAGGATAGCCAAGGACCACAATCCTACATCCACCTCCCAAATAGCTGGGACTGCATGCATGCACCACCACACCTGGTCTATAATCATTTACTGAAGCATTTTTGTTGTTACTTAAACTCTTTGTCAGATAATTTCTGGCATTGGAATAATTTTGTTTTGGTATCAGTTTATTGTTTATTCTCAATGAAGTTGATATTTTTCTGGTTTTTAGAACAATGGATGATATCTTTCGAAAGATGGACATTTAGATATTATGTCATGAGATACTGGATTAATTATTATTATTATTATTGTTATACTGGGTGGGGGGTACATAGGGGTATTTGCAAAATACACTAGATCTTATTTAAAGCTTTTATTTAATCAGCAAATCACTGTTTTAGGTTTAGTACTTAGATTCTGGTCTTTCTTTTTATCAGGTGTGGTTCAAAGACAATTTTTTTGTTAATTGTTTATACATTTATTCATATGTGTATACATTGTTTGGGCCGTTTCTCCCCCCTGCCCCCCGCCCCCTCCCCAGAACCCCTCACTTCCAGGCAGAACCTGTTCTACCCTCCTCTCCAATTTTGTTGAAGAGAAAACATAAGAGATAATAAGAAAGAAATAGAGTTTTGGCTAGCATTGCTTTCATGCACATGTGTATTACAACCCACACTCTTCACTACTTCCCGGTCATCTTCCCATAGTGGCCTCGGCCAAGTTTAAGATTACTGTATGAGCTCCTCTACAGTGGGCACATCAAACACTTTCAAGCTTTATGTTTCCTTCCCTTACCCTGTTCACTCCCTGTGTGTGTGTGTGTGTGTGTGTGTGTGTCTTCCCTTAGTTTGTGACCATATCCAATAATATTTCTGCATTTGTTTTATGTCTGTAATCTGCAAATGAGAGAGAACATGTGATTTTTTTGGCCTTCTGAGCTGATTAACTTTGCTTAAGATGATGTTTTCCAATTCCATTCATTTGCTTGCAAATGAGAAAACTTCATGCTTCTTTGTGGCTGAGTAAAATTCCATTGTGTATAGATATCACATTTTCTTAATTCATTTGTTGGTAGTGGGGCATCTTGGCTGTTTCCATAACTTGGCTATTGTGAATAGTGCTGCAATAAACATGGGTGTGCAGATGCCTTTGTAATAACCTGAGTCCATTCCTTTAGGTATATCCTAGGAGTAGTATTGCTGGATCATATGGCAGATCTATGTTCAGATTTTTAAGAAGCCTCCATATTGTTTTCCAGAGTGGTTGCACTAGCTTGCATTCCCACAAGCAGTGTATGAGTGGTCCTTTTTCCCAGAAGCCTTGCCAATATGTTGTTGGAGGTGTTTTTATTTATTTATTTATTCACATGTGCATACATTATTTGGGTCATTTCTCCCCCTTCCCCCCCCACCTCTCTCCCCCCCCTTTCTTCAAGGCAGAACTGTTCGCCCTTATCTCTGATTTTGTTGAAGAAAAGACATAAGCATAATAAGAAAGACAAAGTTTTTGCTAGTTGAGTTAAGGATAACTGCACAGAGAGATTCCTAGCATTGATCCATGTACAAATATGTTACAACCCAAGTTGATTCATCTCTAACTGATCTTTATACTGGTTCCTGATCCCCTTCTCGTGTTGACCTCTGTTGCTTTAAGGTGTCTGTATTAGTTCCTTTGGAGTGGGGACATCAAACACTTTCATGTTTGGGTGTTTTTGATGATAGCTATGCTAACAGGAATGAGGTGGAATCTTAGTGCAGTTTTCATTTGCATTTCCTTTAAGGTCAGGGATAGTGAGCATTTTTTCAAGTGTTTTTTGGCCATTTAGATATCTTCCTTAGAAAAAGTTCTGTTTAGTTCAGTTGCCCACTTCTTTATTGGTTCATTGATTTTTGGGGAGCTTAGTTTTTTGAGTTCTCTGTATATTCTGGTTATCAGAACTTTCTGTGATATATAGCTAGCTAATATTTTCTCCCACTCTGTGGGTGGCATCCTCAATTTAGAGACTATTTCTTTTGTTGTGCAGAAGCTTTTAAATTTTATGTAGTCCCGCTTTTTCCATCTTTTCTCTTAGTTTCTGGGCTGCTGGAGTTCTACTGAGGAAGTCCTTTCCTATAGCCATTGCTTCCAGAGAATTCCCTGCTCTTTCCTGTACTAACTTCAGAGTTTCAGGTATGATATTAAGGTCTTTAATCAATTTTGAGTTGATACCAGTATGGGGTGATAGGCATGGATCTAGTTTCAGTTTTCTGCAGGCAGATAACCACTTTTCCCAGCGACATTTATTGAAGATGCTGTCTATTCTCCATCTTAGTGTTTTTGGTGCCTTTGTCAAAAATAAGGTGGGCATAGCTGTGTGAATTCATATCCGGGTCCTCTATTGTGTTCCACTGGTCTTCATATCTGTTTCTGTGCCAGTACCATGCTGTTTTTGTTGCTATGGCTCTGTAATATAATTTGATGTTGGATATTGTGATACCTCCAGCATTGCTCTTTTTGCTGAGTATTGCCTTGGCTATTTGTGGTCTCTTGTGTTTCCAAATGAACTTTAGGGTAGATTTTTCAATCTCTGTGATGAAAGTCATTGGGATTTTGATGGAAATTGCATTAAACATGTAGATTGCTTTTGGTACTATAGCCATTTTTACTATGTTGATTCTACCAATCCATGAGCATGGGAGATCTTTCCACCTTCTGTAGTCTTCCTAAATCTCTTTCTTCAGAGGTTTGTAGTTCTCCTTATAGAGGTCATTCACATCTTTTGTTAAGTTTACTCCTAGGTATTTGATTTTTTTTTGAAGCTATTGTAAATGGAATTGTTTTCGTATATTCTTTCTCAATTTGTTCATTGTTAGTGTATAGAAAGTCTACTTATTTTTGTAAGTTGATTTTGTATCCTGCTACATTGCTGAATCTGTTTATGGTGTCTAGGATTTTTTGGATAGAGTTTATTGGGTCTTTGAGGTATAGGATCATGCAAAGACAATTTTTAAATAGCTTTTGTTGTTTCCATATACTTAGATAATTTGCAAATCCTGGGATTCCTACTGAGTACTTCTATTGCTGCCCTTCGAAATAGGATCTGCTTCTCCAGGTGAGACTTCCTGTATCTCTAGGTGAGTCCTGTGAGGGAGAAGTGAGACTGCCTGAGACAACTCTTGTGTAGGGAGCAGTTAATAAGCTCTCAGTTGCAGTATTGTTCCTTCCATCCTGGGACACCTGCCATTCACCTTCCTCTTTCCCTTCTCATAGTTGCCCTATGGTTGCCCTTTGTGTTATTTCCAGGGTTTACAGTTTTACTTAAATGATCAGAGAGAGATGAGTCTACACTGTGTTAAATGGACCCCTTCCTTACAATCTACATGACTCCTTCATCCATTCCTTCTATTAACATTTACAAGACTGTGTGAATTGGGCAAGACATAGAGAATTGCCTAAAATGGCAAACTTCTGTCTGGTGTGGGGAGATGGATAATAACAAATAATCAAATAGGTTTTAATTCTATAACGAGTGCTATCCTTAGTGTCCAAATAATAAATGGAAGTTAAGCTAAACCCTCATTGGATTTAACTAGTCCTTTCAATTAAACTCCTAGACAACTCCTGTGCCCATCTCTCCTTTCTAATAGTCTTCCACATCTCTTGCCCTTTTCATCTCTCATCTGAGTGAGACAATGACATGGCTGGCTGGCCATCCTTCTCTTTAGGAATCCCTGAAACCTATTTCATGATGCTTCAGAGTAGCTCTCTAAGATAATGATCAAGTCATAACTACCACCTGATGGAAACCAGTCAATAGGCCTATAGTAGTTTCAGTACCTACAGTGCTTAAAGGGTATGCTCCACATTCCTTGGGTCAGTGCATTCATTCCATGCTTTAGTATGATTCTGTGCTAGCCTCAGATATCATTTCAAATCCTTCTCTTCCTGCACACTTCAGTCAAGAAATACAAAATGCTAATAAGTATTTCTTGAAAACACTTTAGCATATTCACTGTTGATTCCATGGTGTATACTTGCCACTTTCCTGGAATGCTTCTCTATCTCTTCTACTTTTCCATCTAGAGAACAACATATATGTGATACAGCAGGGTACAAATGTCACCTCAAAGATACTATGATGTACTCTAATAGTCATTCATTTGCTTCATGTGTGCAAGAGAGAGAAAAACAAATAGAGGCTAAGTTGTTTTGTGGATGGCTTGATGAACCTGGTTTATGGGCCTTGGGAGAGGACCATTGTTTTCACTCTTTCTCTGTTTACTCTGCAGAGATGGGCTCAACTCCTCTCATTTCCATTGTGGGATATGTTGGAGGAGGCATCCAGCTACTCTGTCAGTCCTCTGGTTGGTTATCCCAGCCCATAGTGAAGTGGAAAGGACCAGAAGGACTTGAATTACCTGCAGACTCCAAAGTGAAGAAAGATGTACATGGTCTGTTTGATGTGGAGACTTCCCTGACAGTTCAAGAAGATTTTGGGATCATACCATGTTCCATGCAACTCACTGACCAGAGTCCAGAAGTGAAATCTAGAATATTGATAGGAAGTGAGTAGAAAGGGGCAGATACATGTAGCACTTTTGAGGAAAAGAGTCTTTGACTCAGGATTGTTTAGTATTGTTTAGACAGTTGTCTAAACTCAATCCTAAGTTTTGAAAGTCAAAGTAAATGAGGTATAAAAAGAAAATCATAGACATTGATTAGGTGGAATCAGAATGGCTTACCGCTCTTAGGATTCGATTTACATATTTTTTCACCATAAGTTCCCATGGGAGCTGTTTGGGATGGAAACTAGCAGAAATGTGGGGGGGGAGATGAAAGAAGAGGGTGATGAGTGGGAATATGATCTAAGAATATTATGTGCATGTATGAAAATATAACAAAGAAATCAATTAAAATGGTTTTTAAAAGGAGGGAGAGGAATAAGAAAGAGTAAGACAAAGTTAACAGAGGTGGTGAATATAATCAAAGTACATTATACACATGTATACAGATACACAGTGAACACTTTTTATAATTAATATACACTAAAATTATCACTCCATGGGACATGTCTCCAAACTTAATATGTACAAAACTTAATAAAAAGAAATTTAACTTAAAAATATATTACTTACTTATTTTTATAAAAAGTCATTAGTCTATAAAACAGAATAGAATAAAAACATAATTTGAGGAATGATTTTGAAAGTAATAGAACAATTAACGCTAACTGAACTATTTCAGTAATTACAATCAATGTGGAAAAGCTTAGTTTGCCCTTTAAAACACAAAATTGTCAGAGTGGATGAAAATTACTAATTGTTTCATTCATAAGAGAAATGGTAAAACATTTGAATTATTTATTGAATCATAAAATGAAAATAAATATTTGAGACAAATATTATTCAAAGAAAAACCATAAGAGATATGTTAGTGCCACAAAAAATTTTAAGAAAAATTTCTATAAATAGAATTATTTCATAAATATAAAAAGTTAATTCACCAGGGAAATGTAAACATTTTAATTGTAAGTTAATCTCAGATATTTAACACATATAAAACAAACATCCATGGAAATAGAAGGAAAATTGGCAAATTTTGTGTTCCAAAAGTGATTAGGAAAACATAAAGTTAGTAAAGTGTTGACAATTTGAATTGCATATGAATCAGCCTTAACTAATAATCATTAAAAGACTGTACCTCAAAAAAGTTTTTTGCACTGTTGAGGATCAAACCCTGAGCCCTGTGTATGCTAAGCATCCACTGTACCGTGGAGTACACCCCAAGGCCCCAAAACATTAAAGCCCAGAGGGAACATTTACAAAATTTCACCAGGTATAGGCACATAAAATAGTTTTCAGAGGCTGGTGGAGTGGCTCAAGTGGTAGAGTGCCTGCCTAGAAAGTGTGAGGTCCAGAGTTCAAACCTTAGTACTACGAAAAAAATGGTTTTCAGCAATTTTCCAGTATATACTGACATTGAGACGATGCTCTCTAATTACAATTAGTAAAAATAGGTTAAATTGCAATAAAATTATTATGTGTTTGTAAAAATTTAAATGTACTTATAAAAGAGGATCATCATCATGAAGGTAATTAGAAAACTCTAAGAACTAAATGGTAATTCAATTGCATTTATAATGTGTACAGCTAAAGTAGTTTTCTGAGTCAAAATTATATTCTTAAATGTTCATATTAGAAATGAAAAGGCTGAATTTTTATCTTTTAGGTTTTGATGTTTATCCCAGAACAAACTGTAAAAGAACAGAAAGATGGAAGTGATAAGGAGAATGATTTACAGAAACAAAAGGACAGTGCAGATTAACAGTTAAAATAAGATGTCTCAAAGTATTGTTCATTAACTAGCATAGAAAATAACTTGGAAGAGGTAAAACTAAATGCAGAGATACAGCAGAGAATGCACTGGTCAGGTTACACAAGTGCATACCACTGACCTACAACCCACCACAAGTAAAGAATTTATGTGGCATACAAGATGTTCAAGAATTTCCTAGACTCAGTCAAATAAGAAAAAATGATATTTTTTTGTTTAGTATCTATCAAGACACATTCTATGGCTGTGATGAAAGAGCCTGTCACAATTATGGAAAAAGAGACAGAGACATGGACCACTGGCACAGAACACATGTGCGAGCCTAAACAGAAACTTGATGTGGACAGATTGACACAGTGTGTAAGTCCATTAATAAATGATGCTGGCACAGTTGTTCATTTAGGAGAGAAAGAAATATATCCTCTATCTTATTTAGATAGAAAAAGAAAATCCAGGTAGTTCAAGACTTACTCAGAAATCCAAAGGTTTTTATTTCTTTGCTTTTTGTTTGTTGCAACAGGGTCTGGCCATTTAGCTTAGGCTGGCCTTGAACTTACAATCCTTCTGAGTGCTGAGGGGTGGCCAGAAATGCAAACTTTTAACATATAAAAGAAATTATAGAAAAATATTTTGTGATGCAAGAGGTTTCCTTAAATGTCAATCAAATGACCATTGTGGTTAAACACACATTAAGAGTTCTCACACTGTTTTTCAGAGGCATTTTTCCAGACTTCACACAGTTTAGTGACTTTTATTATACTGGAGACCTGCATTGCTGCCTTTGCTGTAGTTATTTATATCAATAGGAAGAGGATTCCATTCTGCAAATCCTTAGGTAAGTGAGGGAGGGAGGAAGAAAGGAAGGTGACAGCTTTGGGCTCAAGAGTTGCATGATCTTGACCACAGAGATTAGTTCTCATCCTCCTCTGTGTATTACCAGGCTTTTCCTGCGTTTTCCAGATGTAAGGAAAGAATGATTTTTCAGAAGCTACAAGGCTGATAAATATTTCTGAGGATGACACCAAGTCTTCTTAAAAAAGAGTTCACTATATTTGAAAAGAATGTGTATGTGTAGGTGCGTAGAAGTTAAAGTGGACAAGATGAGGTAATATTCAGCCTCAAGAATAGTTTTCATCCCCAAGAGTCAATTTTCTCCTTTTTGGAGACTATATTCCCCTCTGAGGGTGCATGCCATAATCCCACCTCCCCAACTCAGTCTACTTCTCCCTGATATCCTCCATTACTACAACCACAAGATTCGAGAGGTCCATCCATCTCTGCAGTGTGAATGATTCTCATATTTTGTTTGATTCCAGATAGAATTGCTCAGTACAGGGACTGGGAATTTGGCACAGGAGAGTTCTAGGAGAAACCCTGTCATTCAGACTCCCAGCTTGTCCCACCTCAGTTGTGAGGCATGTTTGTGTTTGTAGCTTATACATTACTATGTTGAACCCTAAATGCTCTGTTTGTGTTTCAGGGAATATTTGGAAAAAAAGTGTAAGTATCTTATGTTTTAACCCTTCCACACACAGTTCTCCTGAGGCCTAGGTGGTTTGGCCATATGTTCCCAACTGTGTTTAACTCTGGACAGAAAGGTTGAGACATGACAGCAGTTGGTTTGCTTTCACCATTTGTTAATAAGAAAGCAATCCTTAGACATTTAGGAGTGTTTGTAAAAGATAAGATTTCTATGATCTAAAGAGAAACCAAAGTATTTTGGCTTTAGGATGGGAATCTAGGTATGGAAATATTCTACAGCTGTCTATAAATTTTGCCTATTGTTACATTTCATGCAGTAGAACAGTAGATTTTGTGAAAACTCTGAGGGCATGTGGACCCAGAATGCTGAGGAACCTATGGGTATCTCCCCCTCTCCCTTGATTAGTTGAGCCTTTATCCAGGCTTGAATCACTACTGAATATTCTGCTTTCTCTTTCAGAGAAAATCAAGGAAAAACTCAGTAAGAGCACTGTCACTTGCAGAACCTTCCTCTCACTTACTTCTGGTGGCCCTGTTCTGTGATTTGCTTCTCTTCTGTTTTTGGTTTCAGATTGGAAAGAGTATCACAGGCAGGAAAGTAAGTAAAGCCATTCCTCCTCACCCTCCATTTATCTCTTCCTTTTATATCCCTGGTTTATGAACTCACCTGAGGCCCATGGATCCCTAAAATGGCAACCTTGTGATGGGCTTCAAAGTTGTTGAGACTCTGAAATTTTCAGTAAATACTGGGTGAGGCATGTTTTGAAAAGAGGTCTTACTGGTCTCAGCAGATTTCTGGTGAATCTGGTCCCAAAAGTGCAGTCACCTTGGTCTCTCTCCTCTCCCTGTCTCCTGCTCTCCACATAAGTAATGACATGCCTGCTCTGTCTGCTTGTTTTCAGAATGGACAGAGCCTGCAAACATGCAAGTACCAAGGGATGACAGGGTGGCAGTGGAACAGAGCCTTGGATGGGCATAGGAGAGGGAGCTGATGAGTGACAGATGCGGGGTTTCTGAGTGATATTGAAGGCCACATGATCTGCATATGATGAATCTGTGATTCACCCCATGGTGCACCTCACCCAGACATAATTCTCAGTCCAGATCTAGTATGCAAGATCAGTCAGGGTGAAGATCACAGGCAAAGTTACAGGAAATTAAAGGCACTAGTGACTAGATAGGGTGCTGAACTGATGGAAAATTAAGTAAAGTGGACAGCAATGGATAGATGGGAAGAAATTGAATAGTCCTTTGAGGTATCATGAAACAAATAATGAATGTATATTTAGGGAGCATGGTGGGGTTAGGGTGATACACAAGCATGACCTCCCAGACTTTAAGTGTTAACGAGGCTCCAGGTTGTACTACAGTTGAGGAAAGGATCTGGAAAGATAGTTTGTAATGGACACATCTCCTAGACCTCACCTAATACCATCCTGAGTATGTTCTAGAAGACAGAGTAACCTCTGGGCCTAGTTCAAGTTCCTGTCCCTCACAGTAACATATTCCCTTTCTCCTTTCCCTAATGTGACTAGTGAAGTTGAAGCTGACCCCAGACACAGCTCCACTCCAGCTCCACATTTCTGATGTGAAAACTGTATCTTATAAGGATATTCCTCAGTGTGTTTCCTACTTGGAGAAGAGACCTTTGAGAATGTGTGGTGGCTTCTCGGGGTTTCTGAGTAGGGAAGCATACCTGGTAAGTGATGGTTGGACACAGTAAAATGTCATGCGGGGAAGTGTGTGAGGATAAGCACAGACAGGAAGAAGCAGTATGTGAATTTGAATCCAATCAATGGGTACTGGATCCTTGGACAAGAAACAGAAAATTAGTATTTGTAAACAATCCCAACAGAATCCGTCTCTCCCTAAGTGTCAATCCGCACAAGTAGGTGTCTTCCTGGACTATGAGGTGGGACACTCTCACTCTTTAATACAGATGATCAGTCAGTCATTTACACTCTGACACATCAGTCTGAAGGGTACTCAGGCCCTACATCCAGCGTAATGCATATGAGGTGAAAAATGTAGCTCCCATTGTCATATGTCCAGTGTCTCAGAGAAATAAGCTTTTTTTCAAATTGTCTCCAGACCCTCCCACATGGAAAATCAAACCTTCTATCAAAACATCCATTCCTTTCATCTGCAGGAATATGTCCCAAAAGAGTCACACTTCACACTCTCCTTTAGGTACTAAGGTTTCTTTCCCAGACCCAGAACCCTGCACAGCTTACAGAGATGGGTTTTAGGAAAGAGGACTGGTCCATCCATGTCAGCGATCATGTCTTTCTTGAGGTGTATAGTGAAGATGTTAGACATTGGTTTTAGTTTGTGAAAACTCCATCCACCTAAGAGATCTTGGATGAGTCACAACTTCTATACTCCTTCCTTGTTAGTTGGAGACAGTAAGAATCACAATGAAGTATAAAGAGAAAATGAATGTGAATTATGCTTGCATTTTTTCAATGGCATAGTGTTTGCCAATGTATTCATAAAGTGCATTTACCCTAAATGACCTCTATCTCACATTAAAATAATTTTCAAATAACTTATGGTGTAAGTATTAAGCATTTATTTCTGTGCCAGGCAGAAGAATTCAAGAGGAGTGAGCATTTCCTAACTCATTCTATAAGATCCACATGAACAATACCAAAATAGCCAAAGACATTATAGAAATAGAAAAAGAACTACAGATTCATGTCCCAAAGAACACGAATAGAACATTACTAAATGAAATTTGAGTAAATCATATTTAACAATATATTCACCAGTTACTGTGGGACACACCTGATTCCAGCAGTTGGAAGACTGAGGCATGAAGATGATGAGTTTGAGGTCAGCCTAGGCTCTACAGCAAGATTCTTTCTAAAAAAAATAAGAAAGAGAGAAAGAAAGGAAGGAAGGAAGGAAAACCCAATCTATTCAAGGACAATAAATTACTATTGAGTGTGATTTATCCTGTTAATACAGAATTGGAACAATAATAATCAATATCAGGCAGTATAGCTCATCACATTCACAAGAACCATGATACAAAGAACACTTGAATGGCTTTTAAGGTTATTGTATTGAGTGAAAAAAATAGTTATCTCAAATGATTATACATGGCATGTTCTTATTTATAAAATATTCTAAAATTATACAGAAATGGAGAACAGATAAGTGGTTGACAAATGTTGGGAAAGTAAACGTGGGTATCCACATAAAGAGGAATCATGAAGGAGTTCTTTTATGATGATGGATCCATATTTTGATTAAGATGATGGCTATGAACTATACAATAATAAAATTCATGAACTGTAATACTGTCTAAGTATTGTGCCAATGTTATTTCCTGCTTTGAATAATGTACTACAATTATGTAATATTATTACCAGTGGAGGGTATTTTGCAACTCCTGTGACATTGTTTTTTTTTAATTGCTCTGTAGGGTGTTTCTCTAGTTTTAACCAGGAATTGTTGTTTTATTTATTTTATTATTCATGATGGCATACAAGGCTTGGTCATTTCTCCGCCCTGCCCCCACCC